CCTACCATCGGGCCTTAGACCCTTGGACTGCGGACCTTAAACCCACGCGCCGTGGACCCTAGACCATCGGCCTTTGGTGTAAGACCCCCGACCGTGGACCCCAGACCCTACGTGCACACTAACTCTTAGACCCGAGGCTCCGTGCAATTGACGCCGCGTAAAACTTCTATTGGGTATCTGCGGCATAGACCCTGGGCGCACTACAACTCATTGTAGACCCGAGCTCCTAGACCGCGGGGGCACTGTTCATGGATCACAGGCCCCATGCTCAGAGACTACAGACCGTGGGCCATCGACTTGAGGCTTTTGACGCATGTCCGCTACTTGAGACCTTCGTCGACTACCTCGGGCCCTACATCGTAGACCTGAGGCCCAGTGCCTTACACCCTGGGTCCATGACTCTAGACCCTGGACCTTTGGCTTCAGATCCCAGGCGCAAGGCCCTAGACCTGGGGTCCTGGACCCTGCGCTCTGTGCCCATGCCATTAGGTCTCGGACACTAGACAGACGCGCGACCTGAGCCCCCAGACTGTGCATCCGAGACTCTCGGCCGAAACGCTCGGCGCCATATGGCGCGTGCCGTTGTTTGCCCGCTGTATACTTGGAGCCTTTTGGCTGGGCGGCGCAAGGCTCGGGGTTATGGGCGGCGCCCCCTGGCCGGGGCTCGGTCGGTGCCCGTATCCAATCGTGCATATGCGAGGCATGTGTGTTTAGTAAGGGGCAAGGAGGAGTAGTTGTAATCCCTGTAGCTCTGTTGGACGGAACATGGCGTCGTAGGGTTTGCAGCGGGGGTGCGTGCGATTGCATATTTGGTTTGCAGGAATGATGACATGGCTTGAACCAGTGGGCAGGTGGAAGGCGGGGAAGGGGGGGCTGAGGGGCAGGTGGGGCAGGAATGACGCAATCTAGATACAGGAACCTAACTCTGCTCGCCTCCTGGGCCCTCATGGGGCCAGCGGATTATTTGTTACCTGGGTTGCGCCATCCAGAAGTTTGTTGAACGGGCCTTTGCATTCCGGGGGTGGTCCGAGGATCCCCCCCCCGACAGAGAGTTGCATTGCCCGCGATATGTTCCCAGTGTTCTGGCCGCCCCCATCCCACCGCGAGCTCTTGATTGTGTCGGGCAAAGTTTTGGGGGCGTCATGGAGCCTATGGAACCGCAATCATTCCCAGGGGCGTTTTGATTTGGATTTGGGTTCGGACAATTTGCATCTAGCGTACTAGCGCCAGGATTTGCCCCGCAATTACATTGGGACTCGCCCGCGCTTTTGCCGTGGACTCGCAACGCCCTCTCATGCATTTGCAAAGGGGCGCCGCGACCGCCAGTGCGAAACCAATGTTAGCAAGCGCGCTGCATCATTGCGCACAGAGCATCCCGTAGCCTTGTGGCCCCAAATATTTGTTAGAGGTTTGGTTTCGGCGATTGTTACTGTCCACCCGAAGGTGATGCTGCCATCCTCGGTGCCTGGGCTGGCGGTCGGGGTGAGTGGTTCGGCGCACTTGCTCGTGACCATTCCCGAGCTTCCAGAGACCTACGTTGCTTCTCTGAGCACAAGTCTCCCCTGCACGGTAACGGTCGTAGGGTCCAGGCCCCCCAATGCCGAGGAGGGCGGTCCAGGGCGGAGTGGTCAGGTCACCCCGCTGAGATCTGCCCCTTGCCCTGGTACTCCTCTGGAGCCGCCGCCCAGGTCTCCAAGTGGCGCTCGGCCTGCTCAGCTCGAGGATTCCGCTGCAGGGTACAGGGCGGCAGAAGAGGGGGTGGGCGACGACGAGCACTTGGTAGTGTCGCAGTGGAAAGTGGAGTCCAGGAGGACGGCATTGGCAACGCTGGCGGCAATTTCAGCGGGCTCCGTTGCGAATGGGCAGGGCGAGAACGCACTCGAGCCAGCGCCCCCGCCTGAGGAGGCGGCCCTCGGTTCGGGCTCGCCCGCGGCCGCGTGCCCAAGGGCCCCTGGTGATGAGGGCGGCGGCAGTCCCCAGTCGAAGGTCGCGAGGGTGGTTCCGCCGAGTGGCCCGCGCCTGACTTTTCAGGCCAGCTTCGGGGGTCAGGCGCCAGCTATCGCCGTCTACGACAGCGATGATGATGATGCTGGTCAGGGCGCTGATGGGCTGATGCAGCCCAAGCCCAAGTCTGCTGCCAAGTCCGAGGGCAGTTCCTCGACTTGGGCTGGTCCGAGCGTTGCCTCCAGCTGAGCACCCGCGACTCGCCAGCCGCGCGCGTCGCCCCCTCTTGCGTTGTGCACCGCCCCTGCCTAAAGCGAGGTATACCTCGCAGTGGCCAGGCGGCCATATGCTTCAGACGGTCAGCCAGGTTCCAGGCAGCTTATCGCCAAGTGCCAAGTAGATGTGCATGCAGCGTCTGCTCCGTCTCTTGATGTTCAATGCAGGCGTTTATGTGCCAGAATTTGCCAGTCGGCAGCATTGGTGATCGAGCTTGGGTTTGCGCGCAGGCTGCTTTGCGCCGCTGCCATTGCCGCTCCTCTTGGTCAGGGTCCGCTCAGCGCGAAGGCGCAGAGTAAGCTGCAATCGCATGCATCGCGAGCGCGAGAGGCGCTTGATATGTTGCACTGGTGCAGTGCCCCTTCCAGCACGATGGATTGCACGCTGCATGTTCGGCGATTGCGATCGCAAGGTTTTGTTGCAAAAAGGTCGGGGAGCATGGGGCTTGGCCACGCCCCTCCCCTCCCTAACTCCCCGTCCGCATGGGTCGATCTGTCCCCCCGATGAGGCTGCGCGTCTTGCATCGACACGGGGGGGCGGGAGTAGGAAGGAGGAGGGGAGGAAGTGGATGGGGCGAGGGGTAGTTGGGATGAGGAACGGTGCATCATATTATTGCGATGGGGGCGCTTGGTGCGCACAGCGTATGGCGCTCTGGACCCTTCCCTTGCTCGGTGCCGAAGTCCTCCGCCATAGGGGCGCCAGATTCCCCCGCCCTCGGGTGCAGCGCCCCTCCGCATTCGATGTGCCGAACGAGGGCTGAACCGCAGTGATCGCGCAGGGTGTCAAGCCATTCCGTTTCGGGGGGGGCGATAGTTTTCAATTTCGGATTTTGTTTATGGCGGACGGTATGCGGGGCCACTTCCTAGGGGGCCTTCGAGGGGCTCTTGTGCGGCCGAGCTCTGGGCCGCGGCTCGGCGGGCAATCGGGCCCCGCGCCCCCTTCGCCGTCGCGGCAGCCCACGGGGGGTACATTGGGGGGGGAAGAATGAGGGGGCAGGAAATTGATGGGGATAAGGGGCGCGGGGTAGAGGCGCGAGGGGGGCGGGGGGGCCGCCAGTGTTTCGTTTCCCCGAACAGCATTCCTCGGCGCAGCGGCCCTTTGGGCCTCGAGGCCCAATCGGGCTTCCATTTGCGATTTATGCCGTGCCAGGCGCTCGTGAGGGGCGCGAGGGGTTGGGCTGGGCCGCAGCGGTTCCAGCGCGAATATATTTCCGACTTCGGCCGCCACTGCGAACGTTGAGGGTGTTTGTTTACCAGAGCGGGCGTTAGGCGGCGCCCCTCCGATAGGTGATTCGGCCAGGACGGGGGGGAGGGGGCGCGCCGCCGCGCGCGCGAGCGGGGGGCGTCGCCGAACGCCCGCTCCAGCCCAGGGCGGCGATGGCAGCAGAGGGCGGGCCACCCGAGGCCAGTTCGTCGGGGGCGGCAGCCTCGGGCGCGCTCGCGGCGAGGCGGTCCCGTTCGCCGCGGTCGAGGCAGCCGCCGAGCGCGCCGCTGACGTCGCCAAGTCTCCCAATTTCGGAGGCCCCGCCTGGACCGATGCCGCTCAGCGACCAGGGCCACGAGACCAGCGCGCCGTACGGCCCTTCAGGATCTGGCGGCACCCTCCCTACGTACGCCCAGGATCGGGGATGGCGGGATTCAGGGGGTGGGGCGGGTCGGAATAAGATGGCGGCCTTGCAGGAGGGTAGCAAGGGCACGGGTGAGGATAGTGGGGTGTCAGTGGGCATGGATGGGGCCATGGTCGGCGGGGGCAGCGGGAGGGTGAGGGGACGGGGGAGGCAGTCAACCGCATCGGGGTGCTTGAGACGCAGGCGGCCTGGGCAAAGACGCTGATTCTGCGGATGAGGGCAGATATTCGTCGCCTCCAGAGTCTCCAGAGCAGGATCGACAATGCGGGCGATGGCGGCGCTGGCGCCCCAAATCACGGTCATGGGGAGGACGAGGGCGGCTCGACTGATAATCCTCGTGACGGCCCTGAGCATTCGAGCTCCGACTGAGAGTCAGAAACAGGCCAGGTGACTAGATCATCACCTAGTAGTCAGCTCGGCGCGCGCCCCGCGGGCCCGTAGACCAGATTAGATGGTGCGCGATTGTGGGTGACCGTTGCATGTGTGCCTTGCGTTTGTCGCCCTCGCCTCGGAAATCTTGGCGGACAAAAGATCTGCAGTCGTTTCGGGCGCCGCCCCGTCGAGCGCCGTGGCCTCTGTGCTCAGCCTCTCAGTTTGGACGGGGTCGCTACATAACCGAACGCCTCCCCTGAGCGTTTTTTTATCGGGCCCTCCCCCCCCCGCATCCTCGCCAGATGGTGCTCTCGTCACCAAGCCGTAGGTTAGCTACGCAGCAGGGGGGGTGAACCACGTGCGCGTGCCCGCGGATGCCCATCATTGCATTGCTATGCATTGCGTCGGGTTCACTTCGATAGGTATTGTCAGAGGGTCGCGCGTGGCACCCCGTCGCGCATCGCATAGTAATGCGTAGCATTGCGTATCCAGGAATTGCACTGCGGACGATATCGTCTCGTAGGTCGGGGTTGCAGGCCTTTGTATGGCACGACTCTTGCATTGCATTGTGCTGCGTGCTGCCGTGGGGGTTTCAAAGCGCTCGCGGCCCCTGGCTGGCGCAACTCCGCTGTTGGTGCGGGCTGGCCCCGTCGTAGGCCTGTCGTCGCCGTCGCACTCCGTGACCTTTTGGCTCGAAATTTCTGCATTCAGGCGCGCCTTTTCGATTTGCAGGCGCATCTAGTGCGCTCCAGCTTGACGCGCCACGTGAGCTACGGTTGCAATGGCGAGAGGTGGAGGTCGCCGCGGGAAGAGGGGAGCCGCTGACCCGAGCGAGACGCAGGAGGCGCCAGAGGAAGATGACACAGAGCAAGAGGCGCCCCCTCCGCCACAGAAGAGGAAGATGCTTAGCAAAAGCGACACGGTCTGTTGTGGCTCGTGCGGCGTGAAGCGCTCCGACCCGAGCGCGCAATGGCCTGAGGTCCCCAACGAGACGGGCGAGGTTGAACGGGTTGGCTCTGCGTGCATTCCGTGCTGGGACCCGTACGAGAGAGTCTTCAAGCACGAGACCTCATGGACCAAGCACTGCGCCAAGCTGAAGGGCGACAGCAAGTACAAGAAGCGGGTCGACGACGCGAAGGACATCTCGAAGAATCCAGAGAAGGCGGCGTTCGACCAGGAGGAGGTCAACGTCGTTGTCGAGCAAGGCTACACTACGATAGGGAACTACATTTGCATGAAGCCCGAGCTGCTGGAGAAGCAGGCTGGCGGCAACGTCACTGTAGGGATGGCCGATATCTCGACCCAGAAGGTCTTGGCGCCGCTGACCAAGCAGAAGCTGACGGCCGTGTGCGCCGCGCACCCCGATAAGCCGCCCGTGGAGGTGCAGACTTTCACTACCGTGAAGTGCCAGAAGGTCGCGTGCACGCTACCTCGGAGGGCAGCGCTTACAGACACGCAGTCACAGGTGGAGATGAAGAAGGCGCTGGCCGAGGTCACCAAGATGTTGCCAGTCCCGTGCCGCGGCCACGTCAAGCCGCCCGATATCGATTCCTTGGTGAAGCAGCTGCAGGGGGCAAAGTTGGCGCGGGCTGCTGGCGGAGCTGCTCGCCCTGACGGTGGTGAACAGGTGTCCGAGGTTTTCGGCGGCTGCACCCTCTGCCCCGCGCGGCCCCCCAGCCCGGGGCTCTCGGCGCCCCGCTTCGTGTCCCCCTCCCCCCCGAACTTGTCCCCGCAGCCCCAGGGGGAGGGTCGTGCATGCGTTGATGAGGGGGCGGTTCGGGTGCCAGCGGATCCCGATGAAAGGCGATGCGAGTGCCTCCCCCCTTGTTTTCGATGTTCGGCTCCCTGGGCTCCGTGCGTTTTCTTTAGGTGATCGTTGTCTGGGCGGGGGGGTGCATTTGACGGGGCTGGCGTCTCAGTTTGACCCCCGACGTTTCTGGGCGCGGGGGGTCGGGCCTTGACCGATCGGGCGGCGAGGGCTCTCGGGCGGGGGGTCGCGCAGACACTGTGGGGGGGGCCGCTGAAATCCTCGAGGCAGCGGCTGGCGCGGCTGATGCAGCGGGCGGGGGTGCGAGCGGTGCCGCCGACGCCGAGGCGGCGGCGGCCCCCGACGAGGGTGACGACGATGAGAGCTCGGGCAAGGCCAGCAACAGCGAAAGCGAGGCGTCGGGCGCGGCTCCAGCGGCGGGGCCAGCCGCCAGCGGTGGCCGACGTGGTCCCGCCAGTGTCGCGCCCAGCTGCATGGCGCGCGCACCGCGGCAGTGGTCGCGAGGTGCTCGGTCAGTCGCCGCCATGACCGTCGTCGGCAGTGCCGCGGGAGGTCGCCGAGGCGGAGGTCAGCATGGCACTTCCCCTGCGGCCTCGGCAGAGAAGCTGCGCTTGGACGAGCTTGTCCACGATAACCCGCTTGCCGCCATCCTGGAGGGCACCAAGATGGGCGACCGCACTTGCGCCTTGCGCCGCTTCAACCCCCAGCAGCGCGGAGTCGAGATCAACAGGGCAAAGCACTTAGCCAAAGTGGACGCGGCGATCGCTCTCCACAAGAACCTCGCTACGATGACGCCCAAAGACAGGGCGACGCAGTTCGATATCATCGGTGATAGTGACGTGTTGGACGCCAGCACTTTCCTGGACCGCCTGATTTGCAAGGTCGTGTCGGAGGCCGAGGCTGGCGACGACGTGGTCAAGGCGCTCTTGCCGTGGGCGCCCGCGGATGCCGACCAGGGGGCCGTGTTCCAGCTCAAGCGCCCGCGGGTCCACCTCCTGCGCATGAGCAATAGTGATAAGGCCAATGCTTGCAGGGATATCTTCCTCAACTCGTTCCTGGCAGAGGTGGTCGCCAAGGGTGAGGCGTCGGTCGGGATCGTGAGGAGCTGCGCGAGAGAGTTCGTGAGCGAATGCAGCGTGGTCTTGGGGGACAAGGAGAAGTTCCCCGATTGGGTCAATATCGCCGCGGTGCTGCAGGTTTGCGCTGAGGCATTGCTCGTGATATCGGACTCGAGCCCTAAGGCAGCTGATATGGTGACTGACAGGGCGGCGGTAAGGAAGATGTTGAACGGCACATATAGCAAGGAGTGGACCCTTTGCCGCGACAGCTTGATGTCCGACCCCCACTGGGCTCGCCTGACCACCGAGTACCTCGAGCATGCCCTCAGTGACTTGCAGGTCGGGCCCGAGATCTTGGCGGCGGTGGCCAAGGTGAAGTCCAACCAGCTTGACTCTGCGGTCACGGCATCGCGCAAACTGAAGGGGTGGATCGACCGAAGCCGCACTGGTGGCGTCCTCGAGTTGGAGACGGCCTTCGCCGAGTGGGTCGTGCAGGCCACCTCCGCTGCGGAAGAGCACTCGCTCGGGTACGACGCTATTGGGCAGATTCGCGAGGTCATATCCAACCTGATTGCGGCCTCCACTGCGAAGAAGGCGAGCGGCATTTTGGACACGGCCAGGCTGACGGCATCAGAGGAGGCCATGGAGTTGACCCAGACCAAGCTCGGCTCCGAGAGGAAGCGCGACGCGGTCCTGAACCGCATGAAAGAGTGCACCAAGGAGGACGGGCCTCAATGATAAACCAGTGGCCCGCCACCCCACCCCGCCACAGGGTTCAGTTGCTTTCAGTTTCTCATGGGGCCCCACGATGGTGCCCCGATGCTGTAGTCTCTGAGCCGATCTGCCTGATTGCGTTAGGCGCCTTTTCAAATTGGCTCGCCCCGTGGTTTGATTTGGCCGTGCCCCCCCTTCCCGAGCCTTCCCCAACGCCATGTTATGGGGGGCGTGCCGCTGCGCTGGCTCATCGGCGGCGCCGCGTCATTCACGCCCGCGCCCTCCATGGGAAATCTGGGCTCGTCGGGGCGAGATGGCGGCGGTTGGCGCGAGTGGCGCAGGCGTAGCCGATGAGTCAGTGAGCCGCAGTCGGGGGTCGATGCGCCGCGCCCAATTGCAGTCCTCGCCACCCCCCGCCCGCCCTGCCCGCCACCCTGCCAGGAGGATGGCGATGTCGGGGTCATCGGGTCGTTCGAGCTGAGGCAGGCGCTGGACGATCTTAATGGGGAGGTCTTCGCTGGCGAGGCCACCGCGAAGCTCTTCGAGGACGGCGTGGCGGACCTAGCCAAGCTGATCGTCACCGCCCCGCCAGACGCTCTCGACGCTGAGGACGTCGCCAAGATCTCGCAGACCGTGGATCTCGCTGCCAAGTGCGCCGACATAGTGCATAGCGATTCTCGCACCGCCAAGTTGACGACCATATCGGGCCTCCTTGGTCACTACAAGCTCTTCTGCGACGCCGCCGCGACGAGGATCTCTCTGGCGGCCCTCGGCGACGTGGGCCAGCAGGTTGCGCAGAAGGGTGGCCGCGATAAGTGGACTCTCTTGGTGGCGAGCGTGAAGGAGGCGGAGAAGTCGCCGCCAGATGGCACGGCGATCGGGCAGGTCGACGGCTTGGCGACGGTCTCGGAGATCAACGACTTCTGGGCTGCCCAGATGAGGCAGTGCAATGCTGACATCACGGCGTTCGTCGATGAGGTCGGCAGGTCCATCGAGTTCGACCTCCAGCAGCTCCAGGAGACGATCACCAAGCTGCGAGGTGGCATGGATGACGGCAGCTCGTGGAAGGCAGCGCTGTCCGAAGAAGCAAGCTATGACGAGGTCGCCGCCCACGCAAGGACTACGCTCTTCCAAGGCAAGCGCGGCAAGCTGCTGAATAAGGCGCTGGCGGACTACAGGACACTCGCTGATGATGCACGCTCGAAGGGCAGGAAGTTCAATATCAGTAGTCGCGTGAACGGCCTGTTGGAGCCGTTCAAGGACACGCTCGCAGAGGCAAACACTACGGTTTCGGAGGCGGCCCTCATGCAGTTGATGAGGAAGCCCGCAGATCAGATCAAAGACGAGGTCTCGAACGAGCTCGACGCAGTTGCAGATCGCGGCGTGGCCGCAAACAAGCTCATGGCTCAGATCTTTGAGAAAGCATCCCAGATCAAGTCTGCCTAGACCCGCTCAGGCCGACTGCGCCGCGGCAGACGCCGCCCTGCCGCGAGAAAAAAGTGGAAGCATCATCGTCCCAGCATCTCCATCATCCCATGCACCATCCATGCATCTCCACTCGGCCATCATTACTAGTCACCCCCTTCCCCCTCCTCTTTCACCTCTATCTATGTTCAGGTTCTCTCTCATCCTCTCCCTCTCGCTCCCCCCGCGTGACCCCCTTCGCCTCGTCCCTCTCATGCCCTCTTCCCCTCCTGCATCCCTCCCCCTCTTCCCGCCTCCCCCGCTCTTCCCTTTGCAACTTGCCTCCTTCTCGCGGTTTCCGTCTGAACCTCGGGCCATGCATGCAAATGGGGGCTCAGAGACTTGTCTGGGCTGCGCAAGCCCATGCGTGAACCGAGTGCCTGTTTCGGTAATGCGCGGGTCTCTGCGCGAAGCCCCCAAGAGCCAGGGCGCGAGAAACGATCAGAACGCGCCATTGCGCATGATGTCCCAAACGCTGACATGATCAAGTATTTGTGGCGCTTGCGCGCCCCAAAATTGAGCCCATCAGCGTTTCCTCGATCGGCCCCCCCCCCGAAAACGAGGTCATCAAAAGTCGACGTCCTCGGGGCCATCAAAACCCAGGAACGCAACATAGCCCTCCTTACGCTGACCCAAAACACTCAAGCCCACTATACAAGGTGGCGCTCCGTTTTCTCTGGATCTGGAGAGGCAGCGACACGCCAAAGGCCGAGCCAGATCAAACCAGGATTAAATCGAGATGAGATCGAACACGCCAAAACAGACAAATGCCCAAAACAGTCGAATGGCCAGAGGCCGTAACATTCATTTACAATCTAGACATAACATTCTGCATAGCGGTCGCCCTTCGGTAAACGATAGCATCATCGAAGAGGAGCGACAACTGACGACGCAAGGGCGAGGGGTAAGCTTCGGCGACGGCGGTCCAAAATCGACCGTCGGGGGCCCGACCCTCAAGGACTTGGTGGGGGCGACCGCTGCGGCTGCAGCACCCGTGCACACGCTTGCATACTTTGACAAGTGCCGGGAGGTCGAGGTGGGCGGCCAAAAAAGATGCGCGCTTCCTCCAAGGCGCGCCCCATTGGCAAAAATCAGTGTTGACAAGAGTCCAGGCCCTGGACCGAATGAGAGACGCAACAGCGGGGGCAAGCCAGATTCGCGAGGTGCTTGGATTCTCCATAGAGCAAGGCACTTCCATGCGCTTCGCCACAAGGAGGAGCGACACTGAAAATCTCATCATTAGATTCCCAAAATCGACTGCAGACTGGGAGGAAGCACTCAAATCAGGCAGACCAAAAACGTGCGTATCAGAGCGGAGGCGCGGGGGGCCTGGTTGAATATCGCGGGCCCTCGACCAACTCCCACACGGAGTGCCGAGATGCAACCCAAGCACCAGACCCCCCAAGATCCAGCCGCGCACAAGTCGGCGTTTGGCGGGGCCCCTCAGATCGCACTCAGCCCCGTGACGGATGTCCCAGGCCAAAGCGTGGCACCCGCGTCGACTCACGGCACGGCTGAGACGCCCTGAGCCCGAGAACACTTCCAAGAACACCCGCACCTTCAGCACACCTGGAACGGCGGGGCAGCGAGCCTTCCTAAGAGCACCTCGGGGAGCCCGCTGTGGCACCGCAGGGCGTGCCTCTGGAGCGGTCCTGGGAGGCGGGCGAACTGCTCGCTGAGCCGCCCGCCCTTCTCGTAGCGCCGCATCGACGTGTCGGTCTTCCAGCGCCCCCTCATCTTCACCTCGCGGAGCGGCCGCAGCTGGTTCACGAAGTCCCTGCTGGCGCCCGTGTGGCGGAGCAGGTACGGCATGGGCTCGGGTCTGACCCCGGGCCGCCGCGCCGCCCGCCTGAACAACGCCGCGAACTCCGTGACGCCGACGCGGAAGAGAGGCTCGTCCCCGCTGCGGCCGGCCACCAGGCGATGGAGCACCCCCGACAGCCACTGGTCGCAATCGAGGTCGAGGACCAAGCTCTCGTCGAACTCGGCGGTCTTGCTGGCCTTCGCGTCCTCGCCCTCGTGCGGGTGGAGCAGCAGCGCCCAGTGCCGCAGGGCCAGGCTGCCCGCCGCCCGCGGCGGGATGGCGTGGCGCACCAGCACCCGCCCCCACTCCCCGGGCCTCATGTAGAACACCGTGGACAGCACCGCGCAGGCGGCCGCCTCCTACTGGCCCATGAGGACGAGCTCGCACGCGATGGCCGCCACCAGCTCCTCGGGGAGCGGCAGCCTGGCCCGCGCGGGCGTCAGCACCTTGCAGCCGCGCAGCGTCTGGCGCGCCGCCGGCAGCGAGGCCGACCCGTCGCGGCCGAGCCGCGGGTCGCTCCACTGCAGCGCCGCCAGCATCTGCACCCTGCGCCAGTGGTCGACCCCCTCGAGGTACTGCGACAGCATCCACTCGGCGAGCGCGAGGTCGATCCTCTCGGCGTCCGAAGCCGAGAGCGGCCCCACCTCCCCCTGGTCGACCGAAAAGCGAGGCCGGCGCGGCAGGCCCTGCTCGTCCATCCACTCGTCGAACTCGTCGTCCAGCTGCTGGTAGCGGGTCCTGACGGCCTGGGTGCGCACGGTGCTCCTCCTCAACATGTCCCGCGAGCCCTCCTCGGTGAGCTTTGCAGACCTCCGAGACAGCTTCCTCCGCTTCGCGGCCTGCGAGGTCTCCAGGTTCGTCGAGTCCGAGGGCGGCGGGGAGCCAGCCGGGCCCGCGGGGCCGACACCGTCCAGTAGGCGGCGTAGCCGAGGCGCCGTCGCAGCGGGCGGGCTCATCAGAGCCCGCGTCCGCGGCAGCTCCCTGGCATCGACCGCCCCCGTCCGAGGTCGCCTCCGCGTCAACGCCTCCGCCTCCTGCTCGGGCATATCCAGCATGCCGTTGCCCTCGCGACGGACCGTCCGCGAAGTTCCACTCGCTGGGCAGCCATCGGGCGCTGAGGCGGAGGCCTGTGGCCACGACATGGGCAGCGATGGCGCGGAGCGCCCCGCCGACCCCTGGCGCCGAAGAGCGCCCCTTGCTCAAAGCCAAGACGGATGACAGCGAGTCCGAGAGGAGGAGGTGGTGGCGCCCAAACGACGCTGTGGATCGGCAGATGTGCTTAACCCCGAACGCCAGCGCCCGGGCCTCCCCCTCCACGATGTTGTCGGGCGGGTCCCCCCACTTGTGCGAGCCCACGACGGCCCAACCCTCTTCCCGAAACTCATCAGGCAGCCGACTGACCGCCGACTGGCGAGCGTTGATGCAGGCCTCCTCGGATCCCACGATGTCCTGGAAATCTTTCGAGCTCTCAAGGGGCCCATCGCCAACTCCAGCCCAAGCCCTCGACTGCGCGTTGTTGCCCTCCAAGAACCGCCACCTCTCCGAGAAAACGCCCACGGAGCCCACGAGGTCCTCACTGAAGCCCTTGCTGACCAGCCCGAAGCCCCAGAACGACGCGTCACTGCGCATCACCGTCGGACTCCAAGCAACCAACATACTTCGCGAGATCATCCCCAGAAGGCTCGAGAACGTGTTCAGCTCCCAACGAACTGACTCCCAGAGGGGTACAGCGGTACAATGGCGCAGCCTCCGCACGAACGAGTACACGGAATTGAAGATGGACAAATGCTCTCGACATAGTAAGGCGACAAAGGTGCAATGTCCCAACACTTGTTCGACGTCTCTCGGGTCCACGCCACGGCGGCTGACCAGGCAGTCCAGAGCCAGCCGAAGTCGCCACAGCCTTGATCTTTTGGGTCGAATCTCGCACTCTCTTCCCCGGATCTCCCAGCCAAGAACGTCGGCATCGTGATCGCACATGCACACCTCATGAGTTGGAAGACCCTTCTGTGTCAAGGCCGCGTTGACTAAGGTCACGGCACGCCGCACCGCCTCGGGATCGGTGCCCAAGGCAAAAAAAATGTCAACGTATATAGACATTGCCAGCGGCTGCAGCCCCGGCACTACGCTCTTGTCCGCAATGAAAGGCACATCACTCAGCTCGGGAATCGAGCTGACTATGGAACGGTGGATGGTCTGGCACCAGTACAAGGCGTGCGACCAGCCCATCGGGAGCACGGCCAGCACCGGCCAGACACGACTCCCAGGCTGTAGCGGCCGCTCTCGAAGCCTCACCATCCCCACGTCCCCGGCCTTCACGGACGGCAGGGCGAAGTAATCCCGGAAAGCCTCGGGCAGGCCGAAGTGGTAAAAAGCGTCGCAAATGTCCACGTGCCCGACATAGAGCTCCTTGCCCTCGGGCACGGACAGCTCGCCAAGGGAAGAACCGGTGGCTAGCGCAACAGATGCAGGCCGTTGAAACCAACAGTTGGCTCGACGGCAGTCGACCACCATGCGCTGCTTGCCAGACTTCTTACGGACGAAGAAATGGCCGCACCTCTCGCGCGGCGTGTCCGTGTAGGTCACCATCCCAGCGTCGGCGAGCCGCTTGACCAAACGGGCGTACACCCGCGGGTCTCCTCTCAAATTCGTGTCCATGTACGGCTGCCTCGGGGCAGCCAGTAGATTGGATTCTGCCTCCTCAGTTCGAAGAAGCTGCTCGTGTATTGAGGCCTCGACATCGAAATCGCCCTCGTCCTGGAGCAGCTGCCCGAGCGGCACAGGGATGTTGCCGGCCTCCGGCAGCGAGAAGAGGGAATCGTAAAGGCTGACCGCCGGCGAGTCGAGATCTGGGTACACGCTGGCGCCGCGGAGCTCTCTGAGGGCTCCCGCGGGAGTGAGGTCGGGTGGGGGCGGGCCCAGCTCGACTGCGGCGCGGCGGACGCGCTCGTGCACCAGCCGATGGGGAAGTCGCTCCGCCAGGCCCGGGGCGCCTGGCGCCTGGGGCCTCCCGGCCAGGTCGTTCAAGGCCCCGATGACGCGATTGCACTCCTGCACGATGGCGTCGCGCCGAAGCAGCCGCCGCCGCACACTGCGGCACACCGCGCCCTCTGAGGGCGCCTGGCTGTCCACTCGCAGAAGGGGGACAGGAAAAAGGTCCCGACGATCAGCTGCATAA